TCAAACGACCGAGAAAAATCCGAAACAAAGCTGAAACATTGTAAAAACAGCATCTAAAACCTTCTTTTTACGCATGTAAACAAGCGTAATCACCAGCCCCCCCTCCCTAAGAGGAAGAGACGTCAGACCAAGCCACCTTCGCCCCAGAGGACCCACCCTCACAGCCCTTCCACAAAAACGAGCGAAGTAGACGCTCCACCTCATGCACCACCCGGGCCGGAAGAACAAAGACACTGGCCCAGTAAACCTGAAAACTCTGAAGCACCGAGCAAATGAGCTGCAAATGACCAGCAAAAGAAAGCATACGAGTCGACCAACGTCGTTGACTAATAGATTGCTATTTCATAGGATGACTAGGTAACTCATTCTCAATCTTGAGTGAGTTATGGACTCTTGTCCATTAGAGCTCGTCCTTTGATTTGTATGGCTGAGAGTGGCTCGAGTTGCTGACTCAATATTCCTACCATTTTGGGGACGACACCGAGTGGGGAGTTGGGAACATAACTTCACGAGATGGAATTCACTCCTCTCTGACTCTCGAGGAGTAGATGAGTGTTATATTAAATGCTGACTCCGGGACTTGAACAAGAAGTCACACCCTCTCACTGGTCCGAGAGGGACTTTCGATTATTGGTTGGACCATAACCAGGTTGTTCATTAGAGGATCAGTGGTATTTAAAGAGTAAGATGTAACTCAGGGGTAAATTGGTAATTTGACCCAGTTTGAGTTACGAGCACTCATGAATGATTGACTTGCCATTAATGGTCGTATATCCGTGGACACGAAAACATTCTGCAATAAAAAGAATGCAGCTGCGAGTCTTTAGTACAGTGACCTATAGTTAATGAATGATGATTAACTCAATAATGAGTTTGACCGATTAATCTCGTATCGTTGGAGCTTCTGATCTGTAGGTACATTATGTCCTCTTGCTAGCTCACAACGGGTAAAACAATGATCAATTTTTTTTTTTTTGGAAAAATTTGAAATGTTCAAATTTCTC